AGTACTCTGTCTTAAGGCTGATTACAGTACTTTTCCACCAAGGTCTGGACCCAGGTGTTATTCCCAGTTTCACCAGAGAAAGACAGGAAGTGGAGAAGTCCAGACCAATGTGGGGTTCCCTAATAAACACAACTCATTTTTCTAAGTCCAACCTGTTAATAAATTATGGTCCATTTTAGGGAAAGAAGGTCAGATGACTGAAAATAATTACTTATTTAAGTTGTGAAGAAGGAAAGTGGCTATATAGTTTTCTACCACAATCTCTTGGATCATTAAAATGAAAAACACATTCATTTCTTTTTGCTTTAAACGGTATGTCTTGCTTGTATCTGTTGGACGTTGGACTCCTTCTCTAGAGCCTTCTTAAGTATGAAAGCTGAGTTTTCTGTTTATTCAGGTTTCCAGAACTGCTATTTATTACCCCGCTACTGCATGTTTTCATTCCAGAGGAGTGTGATTGTTAATCTGTTATTGCAAGTTTCTTAAGGAGTCAAAACAGCCAGAGAAAAGCATGAACTACACACAGCAAAGAGGCTAGAAAATGTCTCGGCAACATGGAAATGACTCATTGCCTAAAGATACGGAGGCTTAAGAAACACCCTCCACTCAATGCCTGGTAAATTTGTTCAGATGAAATAAAAAAAAAAAAAAAAAAAAACAGCTCAGTCCACTTTTCAAATCAGAAACCAAAGTCAGAAAAACATCTTGGTTGAAATATCCTGTGAAAAACAGTTACAAACTATTTTTCTTCCTTTCCAGAGTTAAGGAGGTCAATTAACACTTGCACTCAGGGGACATATCTGGCTAGTACCTACTCCCACATTCTCTCCTCCAACAATATTCATGCCCAGATAAGGGAGAGAATCATCTTCAGACGAGTTGACTACACTTATCCCAACGTTTTTCTGTACCATTTTAAAAAAGAAGAAAAAAGCATCAAAGTGAAGCCTAAGCATTTCTAAGAGAAAAGACACAATAAATACAGACCTTTTTGATCAATTCAGATCCAAGGACACAAGGAGCAAATGCACACAGGCAGGAATGATTGGTAAATATTTGCTAAATAAAGGCAGCTGATATTTCTCTACCCTCTTGACCCCTTGTCCTCTGAGTCCCCCTTCCCACAATATCCTCGTACATCTTCCTTTGGGTTGTAACCTGAAACTTAATCACTGGATTAAGATGAAACACTAGGAAAGAGCTTCTTACACTCTAGGAACTATAAAAAGTTAGGGGGGTTCCCACCAATATTAAAAGAGATTTTAATATATACCTTAGTGTCACTGCTAAACTGGACCAGAAAACATCCAAGTTCACAGAGCTCGTCTTTGAGGACGATGCCAATTATCATTTTTAAATTCAAATCACGAGGACCTCTTGAACTCGATTATGTAGGACACAGAATAATTTCTTAGCAGGGTCCTCTTTCAGGTGGATTTCCCAAGAGTTCGAGCCATATGGAGCCTAATTAGACAGTGAATATACGCCTTCCTGGTCTGAACGAGAATGACAAATAATATTTCAAAAGCTATTTCCTCCAGAAAGTAAGAACAGTTTGAAAAAATAGTGGTTTATTACTAAAAATTCTTCTCAATTATGAAGTCACTGCTGTGACGTTTTAATATGTACAAAGATGGTTACAAACATAAATAAGTGGCCAAATTCTCCTTCACCTCTCTCCCTCCTTGCCTGCCTCCCTTCCTCTCTCCTTCTCTAGTAAATTAAGATCAGAGAGTTTAAAATCTTGCCTAATTCTTTCAAATTTTTCAAGTATCAGTGAAATCATAAATAGATGCCTTAAATATGATAAAAGAACCATGAATTTTGGATCTGGATATTAGGAAAGAGGAATAAATGAAATGTACAAATAATTCCAAAGTAAGACTTGATGCTGAAAATTTCAACAACCATATATAACAATTATCTTAAATACCAAAAAAAGAAAAACTATGCGTTCAGAGAGGACATCTAATGTGAATAAGAAAACAAGCCTGAACCATAAACTTGTAAAAACAAATACAGTTTTAAGTCTCTTATGTAAAAATTTGAAAAATTTTTGAAAAATCTGAAAAAATTCAAATGATCAATAAATTACCTAACGAATAGACTGACAGCTTATATATTTATATTATAATTATATATTATTATATAAAGCATGCAAATAGGGACTGCTAAAGTGCTTTCTTACGTACTCTTTTTCTTTTTTATGTACTCTTAACATTTATTAGTCTGTGATATTGTTTATATTACTTTTTACGATAGAAAATCTTTTTTCACAGGCAAATTACTAATATCAACTCAGATGTGAACATGAATTCAGACTAGGAAAGGATCAAAATTAACAAAATTTCTGGCCAGTGAAAGTGAAAACTTCATCATATAGACCGTTTCCTCCATTCACCAAGCAGCGAAGCCATTGGCCACAAAAAAAACTTAAAGCAACCTGAAACTGTTCATTCCTTCACTCATTCGACACATGTTTATTTACCACAGACTACGTTCAAATGATGAAGCTGCAAGGGAAAATGTAGAGGTCACTGAGTCTAGACCCTCATTTTACCTGAGAAGCTCTGAGGATTAGAGAGATCAAATGCCTTGAGCATGACGAGCTCATTAGAGAAAGGAGAGCAGGTGCCCCCCGTCCCTGCTCCTTGCTCTTTCTGCCTCACTGCCCTGGATGCTGAGAGGCAGCAAGAGCTTCCAGTCACATGGAGGCTGACTGAGAAACAAGACGTCGGAGTAACAAAACACAGCAATAAATGACATGATAAAATGAGCTGTGTTCACAAGTACTCAAGAATAGAGGGCAGTATGGGGGCAGATTAGCTTGGCCTGAAATAGCTGGGGAAACCTTTCTGTCCTGGAGAAGAGGAGGCTCACGCTGGACATTCATGGTGGGGCAGAACATGGCTAGGTGAAGGCAGAGGCGTTAGGGAATATGCGGAAGCCTGGCGGTCAGAAATAAACACGATATGGACAGGCAAAGACTGAGACCTAGGGCAGACATCAGGTTTTGTCCATAGTGTCTACAACCCTAGTTCTGCCTCTCACCAACCCCACTACCACCACCTCCCATAGGCCTGGCATCTTACCCTACACGCTACACAAACAAATCAGAAAACCCCAAGGAGAACACCTAGCATTTACTAAGTGCCAAGTGCTCTTCTAGACGTCTTCCATATATTGACTTATTTAATCCTCACACTGCATATAATCGCCACTTTTCAGATGACGAAACTAAAGCACAGAGAGGTGAAGTGACTTGGCCAAGCTAGTAAATGGTAGGGCTCGTATTTAATCACAGGAGATATCAAAATTCCGGTATACCCAACCACAACAGACCACATGGGCACAACCTTCCAACACGTGTAAAGAGCAGCTTTGAAACAGCTGGGCCCACCTTTCCCCATCACCCAGTCTTTATTCCTTCCAGTTCTCCCAACAATTCAGTCCTAATTGCTAAGGATTCTTAAGGCTGCTGTCACACCTCGAGGGCTACTTCCAAAAGTCCATGAGAGCTGATCTAAATGGATGGTTTCTTAGATACCTCAGCAATCCAGACACGGTGGAAAACTGAGAAACCCTGAGTGAGGCCCTTAAACAGACTGATGGCTGCCATCTGGCACCCGAGAACAGATTTTAAAAACATCCTCCATTGCCATACAAAGTATCTGGCCCCAGAGTTCGTTATCAGCAGAACCAGGATTAAAAGTTATGACCTCTGTCTTTTCTCTCTCTCACTCTTACTCTCCCAAGGTGTATATTGGTGTATGTTTCTATTTTTTAGCAAAGCAGCCAAAGAGAAACATCAAAAGGAGCCTTCCAGTAGGGTTAGCAGTAAATGAATAGCGTCTGGACGGAGAGAGCAAAGAGAAAGTGAGTCTCAGATATTGTGCTAAATCTATAAGCTTTCTCTGGCTTTTCTTTGAAAGGTGCTCTCCCCTAAACTTGGAGCTGTGGCTTATATATTTACTCATCCCAAACACCATCTGAGACTCCGGAGGCAGGCTTTCAGTAACATTGAAAGCTCATAATCTTTCATTCAAATTTTAGGTCATTCAGCTTGTAGGACCTATGCCCTTTTTACAACAATGTAACTTAAATGAGGAGATGACTGTAAGGGCTTGACCAGGTCGATGTGGTTTAGCGCGCTAAGGTCATGTGGTTTAGCGCCGTTTTGCAGTCTAGCTAACTAACCCTGTGGAGCCCTCAGAGTTGGGGGCACCTATCAGCGACTGGTTTACTGAGATCCCACAGCCTCATATGACCATTGGGAGGTCTGGGTGTCACCAACTAAAAAGTCCCCCTTTTGATTATCAATCGCAATGATTGTATTTTATTTTCTCCTCGGGATCCTGGTCCTCCCAAGTGAGCCCTGACACACCAGGAAGGGGAAACAGGCCCTCTGAACATAATCACACGGAGTTTTTAAGGACCCAATGCTTAGTAGTGTTTTTGGCACATTAAATGTTGATTACTTTTCTTCCTTTCTCCCTAAATGAATGAAAAACCATTTAGATCATTCTCAGGAGTAGCAACAGACTAAAAAGAAATACACTTTTTAAATGAGTAAGAACTTGGAATTTCCTTTATAAAATAAAATTAAATGTCTTTGCATATTAAATGAAATTTGTCACTGCTTGATTACAATTTAAATTATAACATTCGAAATTTAAAAATCCCTTCACAGGTAGAACTTACAGAAAAAGATGGATGAACACAAAGCTTTCTGGAGTGAAAGGGTAAAACTATATATATATATTTTTTTAATTCTACAAAATACAGTAAGAGTATTACAAGAAAACCCCCCACCTGTCTTAAGAGCCAGGTCCCAAGATTTTCTGTTAACAATACCCCACACGAGGCTTGCAGTCATGCCTACTGCTCTTTTCTGATAAAATTTTTCTTCTAGTTCTCCTTTTGTTTTGAACTTCAGTTACTGCCTTCCCACTGGCTATACACAGCCACACATATCTTTCAAAAGCTAATTGAAGCATAGAGAAGTTAAACATGATTTATTCAAGGTCAAATCTCAAGTCAGTGGAAAAGCCATAAATACAGCCTCTGGGCTGCTGAGCGTTCCGGGTGCTGAGCCATACTGCATGGCAAAGTTTTGACTTCTGATTGTTGTTTTTCCAAAGTCCCTTGGGTATTTAAAAGCAGCTCATGTTGACAAGATAGAAGGAAGACGCTTTTAACAAATTTCATTAACATTGCACAACTTCACATCCTTGGACCTATCACATATGCCAATTAGTTTTTAACATATGCATTTAAAACTCCCTTTAAGACACCATATAACTGACTCGAATACACATGAATGGGACACGGTTTAGCAGCCTACAATATTCCCTATTTTTTCCCATTAAATGCAGCCGAATCACAATGCACACAGGAAGCAGTGTGTGCAAAAAGAACTGCCCTGCATTTAAGACCCACAGTACACCCCATTTGAAGATAAGACCCGCATGAAGAGTGCCTGGGAAGAAAGAGAAGATTCTGGGAGTGCAAGATGTAAGGAGAAAAACATCAAGTACTGAGCTGCACTGAGAAACGAGGGCGCCAGGGCTGTCATAAAAAAACATTCACAAGCATGCAGATTAAACAGATAACAAGAGGGGTTTTTTTTTCTTTTTTATAAAAAAGGGAGGTCATTCCTCTTGCTTTCAGGACCTTAAAAAATAAACCAGAGCGGCCAAAGGCTGGGAGGCTGACCCCTGGTGAAGACAGCCCAGAGCACATAATTCAGTTTCTTAAAACCAGGAGAAACCAAATCTGAGGGAGTGGTTTTACTTAGCTTTCTGCGACCACACTCCAAGACTACTTGATCGAACAAATGGGCATTTTCTCCTGGCATCTCTACATCATGAAAAAACTCACTTGCCATTTAATTTTTATCTAATCGTCTTGGCTGTTTTTTGTCTGCCTCTTTCTCCCGTCTACCCCCACCCCACCTACACTGGCATTCTCTGTGGTCAAAGAATCTGTTTCAGTATTAGTGTTCAATATAACAAATGTCAAGTAAACACTCGACACATTTCCTGTGCTATTTAAAGCATCCTAAGCAATTATTTGCCCTAAAGTATTAAACTATAAATTTTCTTAGCTGCTGCCAATTATTATAGTAATAGCTGTCACAGAACAGTGCTTAGAATACTTAAATGAAACTTTTAAATCAGCTATGCTCTTAGGCTACCAGGCTTTGCCAAGATTTTTCTAGTTTCCATATTTTTACCAGCATGTTTTTGAGACAATGGACAAAACTGCAAAGTGTCATATTTAGCTTTTTTTTTCATATTTGAAGCTTAATAGGTACATCAGTATCTTTCAATGTAGATTTTTTTTCTAAGCAAAAAGATAAGAGATAGAAGGTACAGATAGACACAGACACTGCCATCTCATTACTATACTGCTTATTATCACAGGCCAAAAACATGACCACTGAAATATCACTATATTTGATAAAGCTCCAAATCATATAGTTGGTCATAAAAGAGTCCCTGAACATTAGTTCTATAAAGAGTGCGTATGATATTTATGCACACAAACGCACACAGCACTAGAAGACTATTAATCAATACACACAGACAGATGCAAATGCGTATGTGCCGATGACTACAGACAGATATACACACATGCTTATAAGCAATTTTATGTTTAGCCAGACGTGGTTCTTTTTAATCTTTTAAAATTTACTACATATTTTTGTAATTACATGGGAGTAACTTAAAAGTAACATGATTCTAAATCCTTAATAGCTAAGACTGCATTAAATTGCCATCTCCCCCTACAGAATTGTATGGTCCTTGAAAAAATTTTCATGCAGCAGAGCACATTTACGAACCAAAAACAGAAACTCTTTGCTTATTTTTTTAAATGTAGTTAATTATGAGAATATATTTTCCAACTGATGAAAGAATTATATTATCCCCACTCGGCCAGAACCCATTTTGATTTTTACATAATGTACCAGGTATTACTACTTGCTGAAAGATTGCACTGAAGCATTGAGGGACAACAAGGTTATATTATCTTAACATGTTCCACTCAATGGTCTCTGATTGTGTTACGAAGTGCCCTCGCATTGGTTACCAAAAATGTATCGCTATTTTAAGAGTCACACTATTAAGGAAACACATGTCTGCAGAGCTAATATTTGTGAATTATAACCCGACAAACTTTTTAGAGATCTGTCAGCACAGTCACATTAAATCACCCCCCCAGGGTGGTCTGTCTCTGACAATCCCTCCACGGCACGCTTTGCTTGGGAGGAGATGCGTCATTTGAATACACCAAAGAAATTCTCACCTCACTAAGAATCCCCAGCTCTAGGCATGGTACTTTGGCCTGAACACCACAGCAGAGAACACTCTCCCTAACCTTTCTATAGGAGTCTGACTCAGTTCCTCTTTCTGCTCCACGATGACGAGAACAAAGGGGGAAGAAGTAAAAGAGATGACAGAGCAGGGAAGAGAGACGAGAAAAAGGAAGGAAAACAAAATAATCATCTGGCTGGGATGCGTATTTGTGCACTTTTGTTAAAAATATTTTAAAACATCATTTTTCTTTAGTGGTTACTTCTGAGATGGGAAGAAAGTGATGGGATGGGGAGGGCCCCACATAGACATCAAATTTGTGATAATTTTTAAATTTGGAGGGAGAGTTACTTGAGTGCTCACTGAATCCTTATTCTTTATCATTTACCTTAGTTTGTGACTATGCTTTTGTACATACTCAATATTTATAAAAATAATTTTGCAAGTCCCACAGTGACATGGGTTGTAGGCAATAAAGTACAGTTAGTTAAGAGCGAAGGGTCTGAAGTTAAAGTGGTATGAGTTGAATCCCAGTTCCATCAATTACTAGCTCTGTGACCTTGGGCAAGCTACTAACCCAGTTACCTTATCTGTGAAGTGGAGATAATAACTACCTATCTAGGTTTACTGGGAGGATTAAGTGATTAGCACAGTGACTGACACATCCTAAATCCTCAATATGCCAGCCAGTTATTATTATTATTGAAAGAATAGGTTCTCTGGCCAATGACCTTTCTCAAGTGTGTACACTGTTTCTTATGTTTTTGATCATGCTTCTGGTAAATAAATTTGTTAACTGAATGATTTCTTGAACAAAGATATCAACAATCAAGTGCAGTGTTTTTAACCGAAATTCCGTTATTTCGCTGTCTAAAAGACGCCCAAACGAATGACAGAAACAAATTTAACAGTCACACAAGAAAAGGGTGAAGAACTTGGGTATCCAGGCTCCGTTTTCAGAGGAGTCTACTTAACGTTAGCAATGTTAGCTGTCTCAGATAGGAGAAGACCAATCCAGCATTAACGTTAAAGTTCAAAGGCATCTACCATTCACTTTTATGTGTATTCAGAGTTCACGAAATATGTTAAATCCTAATATCTGACGCTGACAAAGAAAACAACTAGCAAAATCCACTTATTCCTTTTTAACAGCTGTCCCCTCAAGCAATACTGAAAAGGAAATCAAGGATTAATTTGCTTGAAGCCACAGGCCACAACTTAGTCAGCTTCTTGTTCCCTCCTAGCATAGTGCCTTGCACGTAGTAGGTTTACAAGAAATGAGCAAAATTGAGTTGAATATAAAGTGAGGAGGTTGTACAAAAAGATGTGTACAGTCCTTTAGATACCATGAATAACCAACTGCCTAAATGATCAAAATATTAAATTGTAAATTTCATGAATGACAAACTGCCTAAATCATCAGACTATCACTGATTATAGTTTATTTCATAGTTAAACTCAAGGGTTCACTGCTACCTTAATAATAAAATGTATCGAAGATATTCCTCCTTCCTTAATTTCAATCAATGTAAGCATGGTCAATCCACAGCTCTGAATTTCAGTGTTTCATTCTATTATCATTGGATTAAGACTATGTCTAGGCTTTAAGTTTCTAGAAGCATAAAGAAACTGGCGACTCTTGAGAAACACATATGTTTTGGAGCCAAAGGAATGAAATTAAGACATTTCCTTTTTTTCTTTTTCTTTTAATAATTCCTAATCTCCCTTTGGCATATTTATTGAGCATCAGCTGTTATTTAACACAAAGGTTCTCCTGGGAGAAAGAAAATCAACCTAAAAAGAAGAGTTTTCCAGAAATAAAAAGAGATAGTTCCAATAGAAAAATATCAGAGAGGAATAATCTTAATATTATATAGCAACTAAAACCTTATCAACAAAAAATATATTTTTAAAGTCATACTACAGTTGTAGAATTGGCCAATACTGAACATATTTGATGAGATATGGATTTTTGGTAAGAACAAAGAAAAGTCCAAGTTGAAGGATTAAGTTTCTCTCAAAATCAGTCACTCACATGTCTGTACCTACGTCACAAAGTGTTTATGAGTCTGATCTGATGTATATTCCAGGCATCAACCCGCTTCCAAGGAGCAGAAACTCCTCAAGTGCCACCTTCCGAACTGAAATAGATTCATCCACATTTTACGTGCCTACGAACAGCTCTTAAAAGCTATCAGCAAAGGTTATTTGTAGGTAGAGAAGCAAAAGACATAAAGATTTCAAAGTCAAAATGTAATGCGCTTTAATTTTTTCTGAGGCACACTCTAAGAGAAAAATGTTCATCAGAGAGAAAAGCAAGACCATTCCTCCTTCAAAGAAACTGGCAAATGCAGAATGAATGCACAAAACACCTGGACCTGCCTTCCTGTTTCCTTGCCAGTAACTTTTTTTAAAATATAAGATTAGCTAAAAGACAAACAAACGTTCAGAGCGATGAAATACACACAGTCACATTGATACACTCTCACAAAAGAGAGCAAAGCTGATGCTATTTAAATATCCTGAAATATTTTCCTAACCGTGCACAGATGGAAGTACAGACTTTTCTGCCAACCGCCTGGTTCAGAAACTTTGCTCTATTTTTAATTATTTGGTTCAGAGGACCCGTTTGTGATTAACTTCTGTGTTGGACGGCGAAGCAAGTAAAGTTCCTGACCCACAGCAAAGAACACTGAGAGAAGCTTAATTATTCTTAAACAGCTAGTGTAATATTGTAAACCATGTGTAGGGACAATGAGTTTGTCAAGGAGCTGTTGATGGCGACTGCCATTTGAAGCTGTAGAGTGTATGAGGAAAACAGAAAAATGCAGGAGGTCTTTAGGAAGTGGCAACAAAATGAAGTTCTCGATCACAAATGCATTTTTGTCTTTGAGGAGCAGCAATGGAGTAAGAAATGGAGAGGAAGAAATTAATAGTGTTGTAAGGACTAATCTCATTAGCACTAGAAGTTTCAGTTTTGACTGGGATCGGTGAATGGAATGCCAAAGCTTTAAGCACAGGAAGTGGACTCAAATGCAAGGAGAAGTTGGTCAGGAAACTCAAACCATAGAATTCAGAATCACACACTAGAACTGCTGAGCCAGATAAAATCCCAGAAGAGAAGCAGAAAGAGAAACAGGGGTCTGGCAAGAAGACAGAAAAGATGGTCAAGGTAAGAATAAGCAGGTTGGAACTGTTTTATATGTTTAAGAGCTGTGTATTTTTTTCAGAGCTGTTCCCAAATAGAAAACAATAAACCCAAGCAGTGAATCAGCAGAAAAACAGAAAGGAAATAAAATATAAGGCACCCAGTTAAGAACCTTGAAGGAGGGGGAAGGCGAAAACCTAACAGACGTTTATTCCTAGAGAAGTTTTCTTCTGAGCCACACCTCTAAACTTGAAGACGTTCTGTATTTAAGTCCTTGATGGACCTGGAAAACCTCAGATTCTACTGAACCATAGGCCACAGAGAGCCAAAATGTTTCAGGAGTAATCATTATTTGCTAAAAATTACACTTGCAATGATTCCAGGATCAATGCCAGAATAGTCTGGGAATTGCAAAAAACAAAACAAGCAGCACCTAACTTCTCCTTGAGAAGTGCAGAAACGGGGAATAAAAACAGAATACCCTTGGCGTGGGGGTCCTACTTCTGAAGTTCAGCTTCTTAAACCACTGACATTGGCTACTAGCTTTTGACTGGATTGGCTGACATGGCAAGACCCTTAAAACAACACGTCCATATTTGTGGGCAATTATGAGATTTCAATAAGTGTAAGCAATTCAGGGGGCCACCATGAGGAGAAGAAAAAAGGTGATCTGTTCCAGAAAGTCCAAAATAAAGCTGACTCCTATTTATACATATTCATATTCCTCCTTCTCTACTACGCAAACAGGTAAAGTACATGTACGAGTACGTGTGTCGGCAAGAGACTAGAATTTGAAAAAAAACCCAATTAAACAAAAAGCACATCTATGACTGAATTATTTATAGTTGCAAATGGTTTCATAATATCAACCTAGTCTTATTACTACGGGCCACAGGCCGTGGCTTAGAAATGTTTTTATTTCATTTAGAAATGTTTCTGTTTGCTATAACAATAGCCACCATGCTGGGATGGGATTTGACCTGTGTCTTTGTCTATAAAACAATCCTATAAGATATGTAAACATGAATTCAATTTTCTTTAAGTCAAGGAAAGCAAAAATATGGTTGTCAGAACAAGAACGGCTTTCTGTGGGAATTTCTAGATAAATGAAAGCTATTCAACTTGAATCAATTGCTGTATCCTTTCTCCAATACACAGCAGATTTATACTTCAGAAGGTTTTTGACAGAGAACAAAATGTTACTGAAATATCTCTTCCATTCCTTTTGTCCTACATAACATTCCATGGGCTGAACTCCCAACAAGGGGCATATATTTGTCAGCTTCTGTTTGCTCTTGCTCTGTTCTGGTTTGACTTTGTTGCAAATTTTCAGTTTTGACCCTTTCCTGACACAAATCAATACACACCTTTTGGTTTTGTTACAACTTGTAATAAAAAAAATTACATTTTTATTCTGTGCCATTGGTAAGCACCTGTAACTTTTTGAAATAAGCCCTGCTATGTAAATCCGTGATAGAACCTTTTTTTATATCTGCTTATGTAAACACTAGCAATCCAGAGAGAAAATTATTCCAACCCAACAATCCACACATTCCTACACAAAACCAATCACTTGAGTATTTAAAAGCTAGATCTGTGGGGAGAGACAGGCCAGAACGAGCAGGAACAAGTCTGTGCAAGATGAATTTATCCTCTGCTGCCTTTACTCCAGGTCATCCCAGGACTATGCCTGTGGGCAAACGCCAAGATGGAAAGAATGGATTGGTGCCTGTTTTCTAGCATATCTATGTAAAGACTGACAAGAGCTGAAGAGGGAGTTGCTGCTCTGAAAGTGACAAAAGGTGTACAGCTGCAAGCTGATCAAGTAGAATATTCAACATTGTCCTGGCCATTTAATGACTAAGCCTGAGCCAGCTGAAAATCAGTCGGAAACAGATTTCAGACAACGGGAGAGCTAAACCACTGGTTCTCAGGGGTGAAGTCCAAGAGGAGGTCTCTGAAGCTGGGTGTCATCCTTTAGGGTGGCCCAGAATAAAATGGTGACGCATTATGCCTCCTGGAGAGTTCATATACACTTTGAACGGCAAAGACACCAAGTCCCGTGGACTTCCAACGAAGATCTTGGGGCAAGAGGAGATGTCCACCAGCACTCTCTGTGACCTGTTAGAGAGAAACATTCTTAGCTACTCCATCAGCAAGCAAAACTCCCCCGCCAGGCTGTATCACTTGACGCCTAGGAGAAAGCTACAAAGAGACTGCAGGGGGACACCTAAAAGAGAGATGGCCTTTGTCTCCTTTGCAGGATCACTAACAGGCTTCCACAAATAAAACCTGGCTTCACTAAAGTCTAAAAGTGAATCAGATTCTAAATATTTCTGAAACTAACAGCATGGTCGTCAGCCACGCACTCTTACTTCTGCAAATACGGAAAAGGCTTCATAATTATTATACATGCTTCTGGCATCAAGAGACGGATGGTGTTTTTACTAAAAGATTAACCACTAGATGTCACAGAACAGCAGATACTCATCATGGAAGAGACCCAATGTCCTGCACTGGTTCTCTCCAGCCCAGGAGGCATAAATCTGCTTCCCAGGTGTCTGGGTAAGCTTCCTCTATCCTCTTCTGTGGCATCCAGCAGACAGACGTGGGACCCACAGATATGAAACGAGCTGACTGTAATACCTTCCCATCCACATAGGAGAGAACTTCTCAGAGAAGATCGCATCAGATTTCAAGATTCCATATACAAGATCAATATGATTTCCTGGTGTTTTTAACTTCGCTGACACTGGTGCATTACAGCTCTAGAAACTCAACTTTAAAGGTACAGTGGCTGCAAAAGGAAAAACACTCTAGCTATCTGTCAAGTTTAGGCTTAGACATCATGAAAACACCTAACATCTAAATTTATAATGAAATGTTTCAAGGGGTAATGAGGGATTCAAGGGGCTGGTCTCCTCCGTTTCCTCGCCTTTCTAGCTCAAAATTGTTCTATTGCGCCACTTCAATTAAGCAAAGTCGTGTCTTTTCAGACTGCACAGTGCTGGGATATCTTGGCGATGGAGAAGAGAGCTGAACTGCAGGTCAGAAAACCAGGGTTACAGCACAGGACGCATGTGTCTGAGCCACTGGAAGCTAACCAATCAGTCAGCCTCTTAGGTTCTAGAAAATGAGCAGGATACTCTCTGCTCAAGGAGTCATGACTAGCCAGAGAAACGATTTATCCAAGGCACTCTGAATTCTGGGATGTGCTATTATCAGCTGAGGTAGACCATGACACACCAGCCACGGCACATGATCTGGATGACTGTGGTTTTTAAGGCTGTATTTACTAAATCAGAGGCTCAGACTGCAAAACACCCCCAAGAGAAAAGGGTAGTTTTGACTAGTGCTACACAAGAAACAGGAAAACACAGAACTTTCATCCCACTGAAGTCTTTGAAGAGCCTGCACATTTAAAATGGGAAAGTTAAAAAAAAAAGGTGTTTTTTTTTTTAAGGAAATCGCTTCCTGAGACTTCAGAGCAAAGAGTAAAAAGTGCACCAGTTAAGAGACAGAAACTCTGAGATTAGTCAAGTCACCAAATGTTCTCTGCACAGCAGAAGAGCAAACAGCTCGTGTTTGTTCATTTCCATAGATTAACAACCCTCTCTCCAGGACTTAAAGATGATATGAACTGTGACTTCCAGAGTTTTGTTTGGAGAAGGCTCATAGACTACTACTGGTAAGACCCATGTTTCAAGGTCACACTCAAAAATATTTTTCTTCATTTTAACATTGCTTCTTACTCACATCGGCCTCTTCTAATCTCTAGCATGACTGAAATGGATCTAAAGCTTGCCGGGAGGGGAAAAACAGAAAGTAGGCTTCCTCCTCTTGTATCTGTTTACACAGATTGTTAAAATAGTACTGTTCAATTGGATGACACTGAGATGGCAAAAAAATACGACGTGTTCCTTCTGAAGAGTAGAAAAAGGTACAAAGGGTTACGGAGGCTTCAACAGAACAGGAAAGCCAAAAGAAAACACCAAAATTTGGGTTTAGATGTTATCACCAAATTTCCTTCAAACTCAAGAGAAAGCAAGGTTTTATGGAAGGAGACTTTTAAATAAACAACCAGATCATCTTTTCTCCTGCTAATAAAGTAATAGATAAACTTGTCTCATGGGCCTATGACCACTTATAAAAGAAAAAAAGAACTGCTAATCTTATGGGAAGTGTCAGATCAGCAATCAAAGGGAAACACTGTTTTCCCAACTCCTTATATAAAGCTCATCTCTAAAAAAAAATCCATAACTTGGGGCCATACTTCTCAGTGGTCCAGTTTGCAGTGACTGAGGCAGCTGCAGAGGGGAACTGGAAATGGAGCACTGAAAAGGGAAAGAGTCATCAAAACAAAATTCACCCAAAGACCTTGCTGCCCCCACCTGGAACCTGCCAGAACAGAGCAAGGTAGAAAAGGCTTTGGGGCATGCCCCCTGTGGGGGCACTGCAGCGGGCGAAGGGCCCAGGCCTCAGTTGCTAATGCCAGGCTCCCCTTTTCCATATTCTATCAGGAGCATATAGTCAAGGACCACAAATGGACACCCCTCTACCTGGAAAAGGTGTCCTCACCTACCACCAACATGGTAACTTCTAGACCAACTCACATGCAAGAAAGAGATGGATGGCCACCTGGCCAGTCAACACAAAGGGGCCCAGACACCATGGTCAGAGTGCCCGCCCACCCCATCAGTCCCATTCCTCATGGGCAGGTTGCCCAGAAGAGGGTTTCAGGGTTCCTCTGTCCATGCAGTGCCTTCACCTCAACTTGACCAACCTTGCTTCCTGGCACTCCAGAACTAATCTCTTCCAGATAAAACAATCTCCTTGGGATAACTATTTTACTAGAACTTTAACCTGAGTTGGAGCGCGAGCTTGCAAGAGCGCTTAAGGGAGACTGATCAAGGCCAGAGAACAGATGATAGGCAGGTGAATCTCAAATTCATCATTCAATCCACATAACAGCTGTGTTTCTAAGAATCCTCATGTAACCAAAGTCCAGTAGGAACTTTTTCAATATGAAGAAAGACAGTTTTAGGCATTCAAAAACAAAGCAAGTTTTTCCTACGTTGAATTTCAATAATAATAGTGTTTTGTGTGGTTACAAGCATAGTACTATAAAAATTAAATATCACTGACCAAATCCAGCATCCTATTCCACATAGCTTTTGTTTTGGAAAATTCATCACTGGGCCTTTCTTTATCTTTTCTTTCTCCTTAACACGGCCTTCTTACATATTTTTGTCATCTCTATCACCCATTGTTGTGAGGGACAAAGCTACTCAAACAAACAGACGCCATAGCTTTTCCACCACTGTGCTCCACCAGGCCAAATGCTGGTTCCAGACCACAATGATGCATGTCATGGTCTATATTAAGTGATGCAATCACATCCAATTTGTATCACAAAAATTCACATTGTAGGGGAAATGACCATATTTATTGCAGGCCTACTAGATGCCAAATGCCAAAAATGGAAGGAAAATAAAAGAGTCCTTGCTGTCACTGAGCTGGGAAAAGGAGTCACAAAGTGCTGGGAAGAACAGGGTGCTCTGGGAGTCCCAAACAGGCAGCACATAACCTAGACCCAGGCTCCTTGAGAAAGGACTTTAAGCTGAGATTTTAAGAAGGAACGAAAGTTAGCCAGACAGATGAGGGGGGCATTGGACAAGGAAGGGGAGCAGCAGGACTAAAAGCTGGAATATAAGAGAAAGCAAGGCACTTCCAAGGAGGAAATGCTAAGACTAAAGTGAGAAAGAAGGGGACAATGGATGAGTGATAGGGCCCCAGAGATAAGCAAGGTCCCCAAGACCTGCTGAGCCAGGTCAAGGATTCTGGACTTTATCCCGAGAGTCATAAAACAACAGAGAAGAGGGGTGAAGGAAAACAGCAATTCGAACAGATATCTAAAGGTAAGAAATGTCCATTTAGGCTTCAGAAAGGAAAATGGGGGGGGGGGGGCGGCCTGGTGGCGCAGCGGTTAAGTTCACACTGTCTGCTTTGGTGGCCAGGGATTTGCTGGTTCGGATCCCAAGTGCAGACCTACGCACCCGCTTGTCGAGCCATGCTGTGGTAGGCATCCCACATATAAAGTAGAGGAAGATGGGCACGGATGTTAGCTCAGGGCCAGTCTTCCTCAGCAAAAAGAGGAGGATTGGCAGCAGATGTTAGCTCAGGGCTAATCTTCCTCAAAAAAAATGAAAGGAAAATTGGTTGGACCAGAACAAGAGTGCATCTCGAGAGGCCCTTCAGGAGGGACAGCACATCCCAAGCCACCCCAGCCCAGCAGAGCCACGATCTCACGTTTAGACCTTGAGACTAGACTTTCCCAAAGCCCAATAACTAGGAAACTGCTCCCAACCTCCTACCCAGAGAGCTCTCTCCAGGGAACAGCTGCAACAGGAAGGAAGCAGGGCAGCAGCCTGCCTCTCTAGTCCAACAAGGATGAAATCATACCCAAGGAGCCCATTCTGCAGCAGGGTGGCCTGGAGGACTAAAGGAGGGGAAGGTGTGAAGACCCCAACCCAGGATCCTTGGATAACGGTGCGACTTCACCAGGCCTCAAACTCCTGACTGATCTCTCCAGGCCCAAGTGGGGGAGGCTGCCAGGCCTCCAGCGTGGTTCCCATGGCAGGGCTCCCCGAGAGAAACATGGGTCAGCAGCAAAGGGCAGGGAACCCCAAAGGCGGGCAGAGGAGACCTGACTGCTAGGAAACTGGCCCAGGGTGGATAAAGGTCAAGGAGTGAAGAGCAGGTGGGAGGAGAAGAGGAAAGGGGGCCCTTGGCAGGAGAAAGCACTAGGGTTTCAACAGGGAACAGTTCCCACGGGGAGCCGTGGGCAGATGAGAACGACAACTATTCCCAGCAAAGCCGAGCTGTCGGCCGGCCTGGTGCAGGATGTGAGCTCAGTAATCTCTCTTCTTCCTTCCAGGTTGGCCCTGAGTACGATCACAGAAGAAAAGAGAGACAGATCATATAAAAACTTGAACTTTCACACAACAAAAAGTAACATAATCAAAATAAAAAGAAAGCAGACTGCGTAAACAGTTGCAGCAAATATGACTTAAAAAAAATCAATATCTAGAACACGTAAAGAGCTCATACACATAAATGAG